CACTACCTTTGTTGCAATATAATTTACAAAACCTTTTTTTTTTTTTTTTTTTTTTTTTTTTTTTTTTTTTACCCTTTTTTTTTTTTTTTTTCTTTTTTTTCAAACTATTTGTTTTATAGTGTATTGTGTTAGGGAGGAATAACGTTTTCTGTATGCCAGTATGCTGTTATTGTTTTTTTTTTTTCACTAAATAAAATAAGTCTGTAGCCCTGCTGTCATGGTTTTGGTTCTGTTAAAGTTTTATCTCTGAGTTTTCATTGGTCTTATTTCCGTTTTTTGTTCCAGTTATTTTTGATTGTATTTGAGTTCTTAGATATTTCCTGTTTGCCCTCTTGTGTCAGTCTCCTTTTCCCTAGCTCCCTTCTTGCTTCTGTTCACACCTGCTCCCAATCTGCTAATTAACCTGTTCTTTGTTTCTCTCTGCCATTTATTCTCCTCCTGTTCAGTCACTCTTTGCTGGTTTGTCGTCATTTCTTTGCCCCCATGTTGTGAGTATTCCTTGTTTTCAGTAGTTTTGGATTTTTTGTTGATTTATGTTTTTGGATTTTTGCTTCAATTACTGTTTTTGTAGTGATGGTGAGATTAAACTTCATGAGGCATTGAACCGTTTTGCCAAATTGCTTCAATGATCCCCACAGTCCATGAGGCTCCATATGAACATGTCACCACCTACTGGTGGGGGTGCAGAACTACAGTTTGTAATATAATTGTGATTTTTTTGTTTTGTTGCAATATTGTTTTTCTTGTTCATTTGAAATTGTAATGTTTGGTCTGTATAAGAAAATCTTTAACAAGTTTTTTTTTGTGTGTAAAATATCTTAGAGAACAATAATTTCAGTTTTTTTGCCATTTTAGTGAAATAAGCTCAAGCAGACATTAATGTTTGTGCAAATTGGGCAATGATGAGAAAATGGAAGGTGTTAGTCATTGTTATTTAAACATAATGGTTTTTCCACAGTCTGTGGTTTTAATCGGGTTGGAAGTTATGTGTTCAACCAATCTTTTGGTTAAACCCACCAATCTATTTTTTTTGTGTTTTTACCAAACTTTATACTAGGGCAACGAATGCATATTAGTCACATGACCCAAAATACTAGTTGTGTTTGATCAAAATCTTTTACAGCTGATGCCACTAAGTAGATGACATATCTTTACAAAGCAATCCTACTTAGAATACATTACATCTTTGATCAGTGACTTGCTCAGATTTTGATCGATACATTGTTTAATCCAACCAAACTAGTTTTAACCAACCAGATTCGTTGGAAAAAACCCAAAATCTATCCAACTCTCGTACAAACTCCCACATCTTGGCCGAATACTGAGGCTGTGTAAATGCCTGCCAAAGTTCCGGGCCAGCTGAACCACTTCCCGAAGCGGTCACGTGGTATGGCAGGTAGCGAGCCTTCATACGTCATCTATTTTGGCTCCTCCCCCAAATGAAGCAAGTCTCGATACTCGACGCACATCTCGAAGCCTCGGCTTATCTCATAACATCTGGAGCTGCTAGGAGCTATACGGTTGCCCACAATCCTATGGGTGCAGGTCCTCACTTTCATATTTTTCTGAGGTTTATAATGGAGAGCTTCAGCTGTTTGAAACAGTTTTGTGACTTTTGTATTTTGTAGTTATTTTCTTGAGTGCTGTAGTCCCAATTTAACCAGAGTTATTCATGTGTGTCTCTAGCATAATGACAACCATAAGGCTGAAAGCTGTCTGGATTCCAGAAGTTTGGAGCTCCTTTCCTACCCTGGATAATGTTCTTACTGATGACCTCACCAAAGGTGAAGCAACAGGAGGTAGAAGATTGGTCCAGTGGAGGGGAAACAGCTGACAATCAACACTCAGAGGAAATCTAGGTTATTAGTCTTACCATTTTCTGATGTTCTCTATGGAATCTAGTTTCCAGTCTGATATTTCTCCCCTTATACATGTATTTAATTTTAACGCTCTTTCTCCTCTTCTAGCTACACAGAAACCTGGCCCTTAATGGAGGAGAGTGCACTCTAGTTGGACCAATTCTGCCCTTAGGATGACAATAGATGTAGCACATCAGCCGCCTTGGTTCCATTTCCTGCACCTGTTGAACACCACAGTAAGACACAGTGATGCCACCAATATTTAGTGTGATTTTTGAAAACCTGAAAATATGTCATATACTGCTTTGATTGGGCCTATTTCACAAAACAAAGATTAAGTCTGGATTTTCTGGATATCCTGGCTTAATGAAGCCTCAAGTTTTATGAAAGCATTAAAACATCAGTTTCCATGGTGATTTATTTTGTTCAGCTACCCCGTTCCCTACCAGGCTAACAACAAGCATGCTGGAGCCTGGTCCCTAATCTGTTTAGTGATTCTGTTACCTCATCTGCATGTTTTTTATTATTATTATTTTTATCAGCCTGCAGACATGCTGCTTTTCACCCTAATTGTGATACAAACTGTAAAGCTATAACCTATAAGACAAAATCCAAAACAAGTTGCTTCTCATTTCTAACAAAGACCTGGTTATTCTCAGCAATACCCGGAATGATGCTCTTGTTTTGAGTAAGATTTGAAAACAGCCAAAAATCTGAGTTGGCAGCAATGTCAGTTCATATGCTAGTTTATACGATGAAGTTCCAGCCATCCGGTCCCAGTGGTACTTCCTTATGTCCACATCACAACCACATCCACTCCATGATTGGTTTAACGCAACACAAATAAAAAAGTGATGATTCTTTCTTCTTCTTTTGTCTCCTTTCTAAATCTACAGTCCAGCCTTGCTCTATCTGAGCCTTCACCTTTCACAATTTGGCTTTGCTATGATTGGACCATCATATTGTTTGGCATCGCTTGAAACATTTCCTTTGCATTGCTGATCCTTTATCCGCAATGAAAACTTTCCATAGGCGTTACATGAATCAGCCTCTCCAGTCTTTGCACACACCTGAAGTAACATACCTGTCAATTTGACTTCTGATTATATAAAATACGACCTGATTCCTGAGTTTCTTGAAATATTGTGTGAATGAAGTCTTTGGAGTAAAAGTCTTAAAAAGGGCTGAAACAATTAACCGTATTAATCAATTATTTAAATAATTATCAACTCATTTAGTAATCGATTAATCATTGTGACAGAGTAACCCACTTAGAGCAACCATTATATCAAAATTGTAAAAAAGAAAAATGATATATGTAAATATTTTGCGTTTAAGATAAAACAAAACAAAAAGTTTTTTTCATCTGTCAATATTCTCTACCCTGAACTCCTCAAGTGAAATGTTTTAGCTTTACCTGGTTTAATTTAGTAAAAAAATCTTCTTTAAGGAACCTTTACTCTCTAATTATTACCGTAATTGATTAATTGAAAAAATAATTGACAGATTGGTCAATTTGCAAAATAATCAATAGTTGCAGCCCTAGTCTTTATTGAATCGTGTATGAATGTCAAGGCTTTCGGAACAAGTTCAAGTCAAGTTTGAAGTTTGTTTTTGCTGATTAATTTGGATTCAAATCCAAGTCTTACATTAGAGAGCCCAACCCTGAGTGGTAGTAGGAGTTAAATTGCTGTTTGATTACCATGGGTTTGTGCAAAGGTTAAACAGGGTTCCCTAAATTCCAATTCTCAAGGTCTGGTGTCCTGGATCTTTAACCCTTTAAAGCCCGATCCAAGAATAAAACAAAACAGAAAATTACTTTTTTTTTGGTTTGAAGTCCTTATTTGGCCTTTTAACAAAATATGTAAAAAGAAAAAACAAAATTTTTTGATATTAATAATTTATTAATATGCGATAAGTCAAGATTATTTTTTGTGTAGTCTTCTGCCCTCTGTTATCAGGTATATCTGATTGTGTACAATAGGATTTTGAGCAAAGTTTTTACCATTAAATTATGCAAAAGGTGTCAGACGCAAAACATTTCAGAAACCGTATGTATCAAATATGATACATTTGGCATTACAGGGTTAAATGTGGGTTTGCCTCAACATGCATGAGTCAAATCATCAGGTCATTAGCAGAACTCTGGAGAACTTGGCTGCATACTAAGACGTGCAGAACTGTTACCGAATTTCTAATGATACTGCCACCTGATGCCAAATCACAGAACTGCAGCACTCTTCTGCTCATTCCTGTAACTTGTGCCCTTACTTGACAAGGTATTTTTTTATTTTCACTTTTTACCCTACCTGGAGTTGTCATTGGTGTCTGAGTTAGACTGGATGCCAGTCGCTTCTTAATGTTAACAAAATCAATCTTGAATTTAACGTTTCCATTGTTTGCTAGGTCGCAACCATTCAAAATTGAAGAAGCTTGACGTCACATTTGCAGAAAAGCACGGGACCCAAAATAAATTCAGGAAAATGGGGTACAGGCTTATGGATGCATCGACTCTGAACAGCTGAGGTTTAAGTCTGCTTATCTAATTAAGTTTTAGTAGTAAAAAGTCAAATAAAAAAGGTCTTTTAATTTTATTTTTCAGTAAAAATGTCTCTAAGTCATTCATGCTCTTGAATATAAAAAAAAACTATCAATAGAAGTAGATACGGTACTTTCAAATACCATTTATTGCATACAATCATGTCCAAATAAAGCTGATTCTGATGTCCTATTGTAGGCCGTTTCCATATTAGATTTCCCTTTTGAAAGTAAACTTCCAAAGGCAGATTTCAAAACAGCCAACCATATTTAGCCATAGGTAATCTTTCCCATCATGATTTCTCAGAGGTTAACCAGAGATAAGCAGGACCGTCAATATTTATGTGCACAGGAAGTAGAGCATCTAAGCCATCAGGGGACGGTCGAAGGAAACAGAAGGGGAGTGGATCAACAGAAATAAATCGAGAAATGTCCTCTTTTTTTTTTTTTTTTATTGCGAGATCAGGAGATGAAAGTATTTTTTTGGCGGTGAATACGTGACTTGCAATTCCCCATTTCCACAACATGTTTTAAATGGCAGCAGCTGTTTGTTGGTGTCATTCCAGGACCACCAAGCAGGGTTTTTTATTTCCTCAGACTGCAAAGACCTAGAATCAAATCAAAGCCAAATATAACAAATACTGAGCTCATACTGGGATGCCATATGCTTCCAATTATTGTGGCGAAGTCCAAAAGGGTGAGGGCATTCATTATGAAACTAATTTCTTTGTTTAAAAACATCTGATCTAATAAATATGAAATATTATAAAGACAATGAAATCTAAGCTGTTTAATCTGTTTACACTTTTACACAATGTTGTGGCTTTTAATCTCGTACAAAAGCCAGTAATGTAAATCAAACAGGTTTTCCTTCTGTTTACTGATGTTTATTGTTATTCAGTCTTAAATCGCCCTCCTTGTCCCTGCTGAAAATAAGGATTCCCTTATCATAATGCTACCACCACAGTTTTAATCGTTTTTACTGTCAAAATGAAAACTTTTCTTTTTAAATCCAAAAAAATATATAATTTTAGGTTGAAGTAGAACAAAATTGATCCAAGTTTAAGGTATTTGCAAATTGTGTTGCAATTCCGAATAGGTGTGTTTCCGGGTACAATGTGACAGTAAAGAATGCAGTGAAAAAAATTATTACTGTAACATGGAGCCAAGAAATTTCAAACAAGTTTGCACAACTTTCCAATGTCCTGCTTACAATCACACACACAGGGTGGAGCGGTTGGTAATTCCTAGTTGTGGTTTTTTTCGCTGCTGTCATTTGCTGAGACGTCACCATGAAAACAGACGCATCCTGCTGTTCTGAGTTTATACTGATGTCTAATTGTCTTTTCCAACCAGAGCGTGGGAAGAAGGAGCTGGGCTGCAATGATGTCCCATCATCAGGGAGATGATCTGATAAAAAAATTCCCAGCTTTCTTTTTACATAACCCAGTGAAGGATGATAAAATAAGAAAATGAGTGTCCAAGATTTTCTTAGAAACTGTAGAAGGTTTAGTTTTGACTATTTACTGTAAACCTGCGAGGTTGTTTTGTTGTCAAGGTCGTTTTGCTTTTTTCCCTTTTGGATTGACTCAGTGACGTAATGTTGTGATGCTGAAAATAGGAAGCAGATTATGTTGTTTCTGTTCAGTGCCTCGCAAAGGTATCCCTGGAGTTTTTCCATATTTTCCCACATGACAACCACAAACCTCAATGTGATTTAATACTTTAAACAAAGACAAATGGAAACGTCTTAAACAGAAATAAAATGATATCTGGCTTACATGACTCTTCTTTAAATAAATAAAAAGCATGGCTTTTTTTTTTTAAAGGACTGGACATGTATTCTACTTCATCTAGGTCTGTTCTTTATTCTAAAATGTAGGGTTATGACACTTTGTTACAATACTTTGACTAGGCCATTCCAAAAATCCTACCCAAACTGGTCATTTTTACAGGGGTTTCATGGCTCCATCAGTTTCAGCAAGTCTTCTATTCTTCAGGGGGGTTTGTTGACATAACATTTGGAATAATTTTGATAAACTAGCCACTATTTGGAAAGTTTATTTCATTTATAGTTTCTCTGTAAATGCTTATTCGCTGGAGTCTCGACTTACCCTATTCAGAATGATGCCTATTAGTGACTTTATTCCTTATGTTGAAAGTGTTAAGATCTTTTGATGAGACAACTCTGGTTGGTCTAATCACTAATGGCGATGAAACCCACTACAGGGAGGAGGTCAAATTTCTGACCAAGTGGTACAGCGACAATCTCCTGCTTATCATCAGCAAAACCAAGGAGATAGTTGTGGATTTCTGCAAGAGTCACTCCGACCACCCATCACTGACCATTGATGGTGCTGCTGTAGAGAGAGTGGGCAGCACCAAATTTCTGTAGGTGCACATCAGCAAGGACTTCTCCTGGACTACCAACACCACTTCACGGTGACTGACAAGGGTGAGAAGGAAAGGAATCAAGAGGACAGAACCCCAAGGGAAACGCTGAAACGGTCTCACTAATGGTTAGGGAATACTAGTGATGTTATGAGATGAGCTGAGGCTTGTGTCGAGTAATAGAGGGGGCGTTTCCCCGAAGAGCGTGTCGAGGCGTGATTCATTTAGAGGAGGGGCCAAAATTGATGATGTCCGAGGCCTTGCTACCGTAATACCACGTGACCGCTAGGAAGTGGTTCAAGAAGCGCAAGAATTTTGACAGGCATCTAAACAGCCTCAGTGTTCAGTCAAGATGTGGGATCCAAACTAATCTGCATTGGTTTGCCCTAGTAAAAATATAGATTGGGTAAAAACGCTGCCAAATTAGGTAGGTTTAGCCAAACAATTGGTTAAACGCATAACTTCCAACCTGATTAAATCCAAAAACTGTGGAAAAACTATTATGTTTGAATAAAAATTACTAAAAACCTTTAATTTTGCTCTTTATTGCCCAATTTGCACACTTTTACTGTCTGCTTGAGTTTATTTCACTACAATGGTAGAAAAACTGTGCACCTTAAATTATTGTTCTAAGAAATTTTACACTTAAAAAAAGTTACAAAAGATTTTATTATACACACTAACATAACAATTACAAAGGAACTTAAAAG